GTGGCAGTGGTGGTCGATGGGGCTGGCCATGTCGTCAACTCAGCGACAGTCAGGACGAAAGACCCAATCATTGCGGAACAGGTGGCCATCGCCTTAGCACTCAAGATGGATAACATTGAAGTCGTCTACAGTGATTCCATGGCAGCACTACGGGCGTTCGCAAAGGGGACGGTCTCAGAGCAAACGCTGAGAATACTGCAAGGCAAGAACATCACGCATCATCTTCCGAGTTGGTTCCCAGCTCACTTTGGGCAAATCAACGATTCCCCTCCCAATCTCAATGAAGCAGCACACGAGGCGGCGCGAAAACTCTCCAAACGCGCCTCCCCGGGGACGCATTCTACCGGTGAAGGGGATAACCGGGAAATTTTTACAACATATAACGAGCTCACTAAACATTTCTACCTGTCTAGAAGGATTTTCCCTCCACCTCACAAAAATCTAACCCGGCCCCAAGCACTTACTTTAAGGCTTTTGCAAACGCGAATGTACCCTACTTTGAAAATGTTACACATCATGTACCCTGACCTATACCCAAGTAATCTCTGTCCACATTGTGGGGAAAGAGCTTCATTAGAACACATGCTCTGGCAGTGCACCAAATTCGCTCATATATCGAACATCACCTCTGCAGGTGGGAGGCGGCAATCCGCAGCTCATCCTTGGCAGATCAGCTCTGGGCTGTCCACAAAGCCCGCGAGGCGGCTGAGGAACTTGGCATCTCAGTCCCCACGTCAGAGCTGCCCGCAACACAGTGATCTGTGTTTTGGAGGACCAAATAAAAGTTTATCCAATCCAATCCCAGGTGGTTAAAGGTGGGCAGTAGGAACGAAGTGCAAGCCGTAAGAAAGCATAAAGTTTCCCCAAATTAACTAGAGGGAACTCTTTAGCTGCGATCATTCAGCGATCATGGGAATGATGGGTAGTACACACTTTTGCCTAGTCTTCGTACTTGAGGGTGGCGATTTGTACTTGCGGCTTCATTTATTGCTGGTTAAGGTTTTGCTTTGAAAGAAAGAATGAACCCTTTTGAACTGAGTGACTTGATTCAAAATGGTCAGCCTAAAAAAATAAGGTTGTAAAGCGCAAACGGTGAACAATCGCTAATTTATGTTTTCGTAAAAAAACAGTTCCAAGCCACACGAACACACACGGAGCCAGAAGCAGGCCAGAAGTACGAAAATTAGACAAATGCGTGTACTACCTATCATTCCCATGCTCGCTGAAGCGCCGCGTGTTGCAGCTTCCTTAGACAATAGCGCCAGAGTTCCATCTAATGTATATTAAAAACTGTATGTAAGAAAGTGTGCGTGTGCCTCCTCTTGTTTAGTACTTGGAATGCCCGCTGAATGGCGGTGCTTTTATATCGGGAATATATGACGAAAAGATATGAGATGGTAGTACTTGGAGTGTTGAATAGGTGGATGAACGGACACACAGACATATGCATGGATGGATGCACGGATGGCTGCACAGACAGATGAACGCAGGAGTGGATGCATGGACGAAAGCAGGGACGGACGCACAGATGAACGTGCGGACGCACGAACAGACGCACGCACGGACGGGCGGATGGGTGCATGGGCGGCCACAAAGACGCACGCATGGATGGACAGGAGCAAGAAAAAATGGACGGATGGATGCTTGGCCCCCCTATCCATCATTCACTCCGTGGATGTGCTGCCATTTTTTTATTGCATCAGTGATCGCATCTCCGATAATTCTTTTTGGGGCTCCTGCAAGCTTCTGAACAAACTTGACTAATCGCGTTCTCAACGTAATCTCGAAGGAACCTTCTAAAACCATGTCAAACCCTTCAAAATATTGTTGCTTAGCCGTTACAACAAATTCTACGGATGAAACCACATCGCAACGAAACAATGAAGTAGGGGTGGTGTTCAGTGGAGTCGTTTAAAGAAGTATCGTTACGATGATACAAAAAGAATAACATTGAGGAAGAAATCAAAAGGTATGCGTGCATATTGTAAACACAGAAGGATAAGGGTATAATAGAGTTCAGATAGCTTGTTATCGCTAGTGAAACGGCCCAAGGCGCACCACTAACGACTTCAGGGTGCGCCAAGTTTGTATATCTGGTTAGTTTTTTCCCATAAAATTTGGTAAGGAAACGAATGTGAACTCGTGTTTTTTCATTTCACTGCGGCAACTTGGCAAAGGAAAAGACGAACACCGCGTGACATATCGGCTTCCTTAGGGTATTTTCAAAGCTCTTTTGCGCTTCGCGTAAAACTGCGACGTTCGCTTCGCGGAGAATTTTCTGTATTAAGCAGAGGCGATGGTTATTACTTGTACAGTCGATTGTGATTTGAAGGCTATCGCGCCAGCTTCGACTAAGAACTACAAGAGCACCACATCGCTGAATATTCTATCGAGAAGAAGGTGGTATTACGCGAACTTCGCTGACTCGTTTTTTTTTTTTTGCTTCAAGCTGCGGTTACTCTTGTCGAAGGAAGCTGTTTATGCGAAGCAGTACTAAGCACCAGTTTCAACACATCTTTCCCACCAATTTCGCAATCGCCCAGGTAAATAAAATCCCGCCGAGAATACACCTTATAGCAAAAAATTGAAAGCTCAAAATATATAAAAACTGTGTAAAATTCGTCGTAGTGCTCATTGTCTTAGCAATGCAACCTAGAAAAATAATTCTGGCCCACTCAGTACTGCGGGTATGGTCTGTGATGTCAATCGGTTGTGACCCACATCTCAATCTGACTAGACGTGCGCATACGTGCTCCCGCCGTTCGAGATGGCAGGATTGCTAAGCCTGACGAAGCCTGTCGTGGGGTGCTCGTGTTTCTTTTGTGGACGGCGTGAAGATGACCGTGTTTTTCCACGCTTGTTAATTACTGCGCCTGATGTGATGTGCTTCGTTTCCTGAATGTCCACCTGCTAGCTCACGCGATGGGCCCTGCTGCGGGTCGATCTCTACTGGATATTGAGAATGCGGCGGAAGTTGGAGTGTTTTTATTCTCAGCGGACTACCGATTGATTGATTGATTTGATTGAGTGACATGTGGGGTTTAACGTCCCAAAACCTCCATATGATTATGAGAGACGCCGAAGTGGAGAGTTCCGGAATTTTCGACCATCTGGGTTTATTTAACGTGCACCCAAATCTGAACACACGAGTCAACAGCATTTTGCCGCCATCGGAAAGGCAGCCGCCGCTAGACCACCGCAGTGGGCTGGTCACGTCTTTTGAGTCATTATATATAGTAATGCATATAAAATCTCTGCTACTTATATATTTACACATAAACAATAAAACTTCATAATGTTACATTCGAATCAGCGCCCTTTATTCCTTGTATTTCACACCCACAAGACAGCACTTTCAGTGCAGAAATGCAAGCAATGGTGTCAATGTAACGTGACTGGTAAATTATCTTACCTTGTCCTTCGGAGAACTTACGTAGCGCCGATAGAGCAACATAATCTGTGCCAGTTTCGAGCCCAATTTGGCTTTTTGACGCAAGTTAGTGACTTTTGCACAATTCGGCGTTTGCGAAGGCTTCTTTTATTGAAACAATTTCATCCTTCGTGAAATGACATTGCCTGTGTCCACCACTTACAAATTTTTTCAATGGTGACGCACCCACCCCCTTATTTTCGCGGAAGAATGACCTTTGGACATCGCTTTTCACATTGATCTTCACATAGTGTATCGCAAGGGAACGGTTTTCCATCTCCGGTGGTGCAGCACTTCTTGAGGCAGCCGCGCTGACAAATGTTTTTGATGACCTTGCGGGTTGCCTGCAACAAAAAATGACTTATTTTGTGTTATAAGAAACAGATTCCGGATATTTACAGTAAAAAAATCGCACGAAAACACGCATTTCGTATTATCGTATGGTTGTCAGGATGAAATAGGAAAAACGCAGGTGGTAAAAATAAAACGCTTTGGGGCTCGAAGTTCTGCCCAGTAAAACAAGGAACATTTAACATGAGGCGAAAACGGCAACACATTCATCGGTCCTGGGTAATGTTCCGTTAAGTTTGGTCGCCTAAAAGAACTCGGCCCATACAGAAAAAGGGGTTCAGTCCCCCTGTACCTTATAAAACGTATTTAGACACTAGGCCGCATAAAAAAAGTTACTGCTTTGCCACAAAGGTGAATCAATGAACGCGATAACAATGAATTGGATGGTCACAAGCAGAATGGCAAGTAGATCCAAATGTGTTGCACTTATCACGCACAAACAATGCACCAAACGTTCTCAGAGGTACATATGAATGCAAATAAGTCTCAGTTGTCACTTCACTGTGCCTGAAAAGCGCGCCCATTTCGCAAACTGAGGCTGTGTAGTGTTTGCAGTGACCTTTGTGCGCCCCGTAACTACAACAGAATCGTTCCAGTGCAAGCCCTACACGTACCACGACGAATGAACCTCCCCACCGAGAGACAAGGGTGCGTGAGAGACCGGCCACAGCCCTCTCCTCCTCTCCGCGGGCCAAAGTACGCGTGAGAGATTAGAGCCGCCGTGCGGTCATTGCGCCATCTTGCAGATAATGCTGAAATTACGATAGTTCACCCCCCGAGATTCCCGCCAACAACGGTAAGTGGTAGGTACAAATAGCTTGCAGTTTGAGCGTCGAAGAGGGCACCCCTCGGTGGCTCAATAGTTCAGGTCTCTCATTTAGACGCGGAGGTCGCATGATATATATATATATATATATATATATATATATATATATATATATATATATATATATATATATATATATATATATATACGATGCGTGATATCGACGTCGATGCCAGCGGTGAAATCCAGCTGAGAGTGTCTGTATAATTTCTATCGCAATAAAAAGATTCGGAAACCCAGAGATGAAGTGGACATGGAGGAGCCCTAATGGCGTAAATAAGAACGAAATAGACTTTATAATGACTGCACACCCAGGAGTCGTGCAGGATGTGGAAGTGGTTGGCAAGGTAAGATGCAGTGACCATAGAATGGTACGGGCTCGAATCCGCCTAGACTTGAAGAAGGAACGACAGAAACTGATACGCAAGAAGCCAATCCATGAGCTAGCACTGAGAGGGAAAGTACAGGAATTCAGAGTGTCACTGCAGAACAGGTATTCTGCTCTTAGCGAGGAAACCAACCTTAGCGTAGATACAATGAATGATAATCTGACGAGTATCATCACGGAGTGTGCAGTGGAAGTTGGAGGCAGGGTAGCTAGACAGGACACCGGCAAGCTTTCCCAGGAAACGAAAAACCTAATTAAGAAGCATCAAATCATGAAAGTGTCAAGTACAACAGACAAAATAGAACTGGCAGAGCTTTCGAAGTTGATTAATTGACGTAAAGTATGCGATGTAAGAAGGTATAACATGGAGAGAATTGAGCACGCTCTGAAAAACGGAGGAAGCGTCAAAGCAGTTAAGAGGAAACTTTGGATAGGCAAAAGGCAGATGTATGCACTAAGGAACAAAGAAGGCAAAATAACTACCAATATGGATAGGATAGTTAAAATAGCGGAGGAGTTTTACAGAGATCTGTACAGTAGCCGAGACAACCATAACCTTAATACTATAAAAACTAGCAGTAACCCAGACGACACCCCACCGGGAATGATAGAAGAAGTCAGAAAAGCTTTAGAGGGCATGCACAGAGGCAAAGCTGCTGGTGAGGATCGGGTAACATCAGATCTACTGAAAGATGAAGGACAGATTGTGTTAGAAAAACTAGCCACTCTATTTACGAGGTGTCTCCTGACGGGAAAAGTACCAGAGTCTTGGAAGAACGCTATCATCATCTTAATACATAAGAAAGGAGATGACAAAGACTTGAAGAATTACAGGCCGATCAGCTTGCTCTCTGTAGTATACAAGCTATTTACAAAGGTAATTGCTAGCAGAGTAAAGAAAACATTAGAATTCAATCAATCAAAGGAACAAGCAGGATTTAGAACAGGCTACTCAACAATTGACCACATTCATACTATCAATCAGGTAATAGAGAAATGCTCAGAGTATAACCAACCACTATACATAGCCTTCATAGATTACGAGAAGGCGTTTGATTCAGTAGAAATATCAGCCGTCATGCAGACACTGCGGAATCAGGGCGTAGATGAAATATATATAAACATTCTGGAAGAAATCTACAGGGGATCAACTGCTACCATAGTGCTTTATAAAGAAAGCAACAGAATACCAATAAAAAAGGGTGTAAGCCAGGGGGACACAATCTCCCCATTGCTATTCACTGCGTGTTTACAGGACGTTTTCAGAAGCCTAGATTGGGAACAGTTAGGGAAAAGAGTTAATGGAGAGTACCTCAGTAACCTGCGCTTCGCCGATGACATTGCATTGCTGAGTAACTCAGGGGATGAATTGCAACTCATAATTACGGAGTTAGACAAGGAGAGCAGAAAGGTGGGTCTTAAAATTAATCTGCAGAAAACGAAAGTAATGTACAACAACCTCGGAAAGGAGCAGCGCTTTGTGATAGGTAATAGTGCACTTGAAGTTGTAAAAGAGATGAAAGGTAGAAGCAAAAAGGCGAGAAACAATTTTATCCTTCAGCTGGTACCACTAGCAACGTAAGCTTTCAGTTGTCAGAACATAACGTAGCGCACATAGAACAGCACTGCGGCCCGAACCAAACTGACTGAATGTAGGGAAGCTCTGTTATTGTTTGTTATTACCGGCGCAAAACGTCGCGATTTTTACAATAGTGAACGCACCTTGAAGTCTAAGTGCTGGTTCTCCAGTAAGCTATCGAACAGGCTTCACCAGTCGCGTTCCGCACGTAATCTCAAAGTAATATTTAGAATTTTTTTCTGAAAAATTATACGAAATTACGTGCATGCTTGTGAAGTTTCTTCGAGAGCTTACTCATTAAATAAACGCTGCAAGCGCACTCAAATGGCTGAAGTACTCGGCTGCTGACCCCCCCCCCCCCCATTCGCGGGATTGAATCTGGGCTTCGGCAGCAGCATTTTCCGTGGAAGCGAAATAGCTGTAGGCCCGTTTTCTCCGATTTGGGCGCGCGTTAAAGAACCCCGGTGATCTAAACTTCCGGAGCTCTCCACTACCGCATCTCTTATAATATGGTGCTGTTGGGAGGTCAAACCCCACTTATTATTCAACAATAATCCCGGCACACGAGGGGGCTTTTTAAGAAACAATTGGTGGAGTGAGGCGAAACGACGGATTCAGAGAGTATGTATATATATATATATATATATATATATATATATATATATATATATATATATATATATATATATATATATATATATATATATATATATATATATATATATATATATACATATATATATATTCAGTGAAAACTACACATAGGTTAGTAAATGAGGAGCAAGATTTTTTAGCATGGTAATTCATCCCGGGAACTTTACAGCGAAATCTCGTGAAGGTCACCTTGCATTGCCGTCAAAGACATTCTGCGCTGTTTTATGAGAACCGCTAGTGCGGGAACTCCTCATATTCTAATACAACTGTTTAATTGTTTTGTTTATTATCGGTGGAAAACAGCGTTTTTTTTTAATCGGTGATTGCATCTTCGATCTTTTTTGCTGCGCCTGCCATAGGTTGTAGAACAAACTGCACAGATCGCGTTCGCAGCATAATCTCCAAGGAACCTTTTGAAACAACGTTAAACCTTCCAAAAAGTTGTTCCGTAGCTGGTTCAACAGTTTCTGTGGGGGAAAGCAGATCACATAAATATAAATAAATAATGAAATAAGGGGTAAGATGCAGTGACTTCCTTTAAAAAAAGCGTCGTTACGATACTGCAGAAACGAATGAGTTTGAGTTAGAAATAAAAAAATTGCCCACAGCTTCCCTCGGGGGAACACTGAGGAGAATGCGGAGCATATAATTGGTTAACGGGGTGTTAAAGTGCGATTTACTTGGGTCGAAGGCTGATTTGGTTAACGTGGTTGTGAAATGGGGTGTTAAATTGCGACTTACTTGGGTCGATGGCTAAATTGGTTAAGGTGGTTGTAGGAGGGGGTGTTAAATGAGTGAACACGTACACACGTATGCGAAAGGGCGGCGCTGGTCGAAGGGACGTCGTTCATTGTGTTTGTGGATTCGTTGGAATTCATTTCACCGCGACCTTGGACGTCGACGCGCCGTACAAACCAACCGACGAGCGGCAACTGAGCGAGCGAGCACCGACCTTGAGTATATATACAGCGCGACGGCGCATGCACTGTCAGCTGTCGAATGTTCGAGAAGGGGGAGAAGCGCAACGGCGCATGCGCGCGCGTCAGCTGCCGATGTTCTCGAAGCGCGACGGCGCATGCGCGCGCGTCAGCTGCCAATGTTCTCGAAGCGTGACGGCGCATGCGCGCTACATTATACAGCTAGCGAATGTTCGTGAAGAGGAGAAGCGCACGCGGTGTGTAGAGGAGGAAGGGTGCACAGATGGTGGAGGAGTGAAGCGCGCGCGGTGTGTAGAGGAGGAAGGGATGCACAGATGGTGGAAGAAGGAGGAGGAAGCTTACGGACGGCGCCGCACTACAAGCCTCGAGTATTAGATGCTCGGCATCTAAAAAATATATGCCCAGTATACCTGCATATATAAACACAGGACAAGGGCATAATAAAGTTTGATGTCCTTGTTAGCGTGCACAAAACGGCTCAAGCTGCATCGATAAAGACCTCGGAAAGTGTCCTGTTCGTATTTTTGTGTAGTTTTTGCTCAAAAAGCTTGGTAAGGAAATTGTTGTGCACTAGTGTGTTGAGATCAGCTTTGTGACAGACGCAAAAGAAAATACTATGTGACACATTTGGTTTCTTGCGGTATTTTCAAAGTTCCCTGACGCTTCTCGTAAAACTGCGACATTCGCTTCGCGGTAGCTCATCGCTGTGATAAGCAGAGGCAACGGTTATTACTTGTACAGACGATTGTGACTTGAAGGTCATCCCGCCAGCATCCACTAGGAACTTCTACAGCACCACGTCCAAGGTATTCTTTCGAGCAGAGGGTGGTATCATGGAAGCTTTCCTGCTTGTTTTTATTTTCGTTTCTTAAGCTGCGATCACTCTCCTTTGAGGAAGCTGTTTAAAGGAAGCAGTGCCAAGCACCAGCTTCAACACGTCTTTCCCAGCAATTCCGTAATCGCCGGTGGGGTTGAGAGCCCATTAAGAATGCACCTGATCACAACGAATCGAAGGCTAAGTACGGAGAAAAATTGTGTAGAGTTTGTCGCAGTGGCGATCGCCTTAGCAACGCCACCTAGGAAAATATTTCAGGCCCACTCACTACTACGGCCATGGCCTGTGACGTCATTCATCAGTTGCAGCCTTCATCTCCTGCCGACTAGACGGGCGCATGCTTGCTCCCACCGTTCGAGATAGCAGGATTGCTTAGCCTTACGGATCTGGTCGCTGGGTGCTCATCTTTTTTTTGAGTGACTGCAGGACAATGGCCGTGTTTTTCTGCGCTCGTGAAATACTGCGTGGTAATGCGATGTGCTTCGTTCACCAAATATTCACAAAGTGCACGTACACCTGCAAACTCTCCCAATTGGCAGTGCTACGCGTTCAACCGCCACCGATATTGAGATTGTGCCGGAGGTTCGAGTGCTTTCATTCTCAGTGGGTTAAAAAAAAGCGAAGTGAGAGCGTGCCGTTCATCGCGATGACATCCATATTCGTTACTCCGAGATTCAAAGGAATGTGTTTGTCTGTACTAGTTGCTTTTAGGTTGTTTTGAAAGAACCACCTTTAGCACCTTCGGGTTCCTCCGTTGAATGTCGGGTGCGCTTCTGACTTGTTAGCCAGCCTTGATATTAGACACATTTAGCTGATCACCACTGGCACGCACCCCGTGATAACGTAGCGTGCCGAGATGTTCCTAGGAAGCACACAGGTGTCTGTTTTTTTGTTTTTTTTTACAATCGCGTTTGCCGAGATGCAGTCTGCTTGGCTGCTAAATGACGGTGCAACGAAGTAGACCAACCTTCACACTCTACTCAGCCAAGTTGACGAGCGCAGCGAAATAGGCGTTTAACGCTTCACTGCTCACGCCACAAACGCATCAAAATGAAGTATTAAACGTGCATGTCTATATATTCTCGTAGCAGGCGTTTTTAATTAAGGGTCAGTAAACATTTCTCAATTTGCGCATAGCACCAAGAGATTATTGTGGAATGTCTGATAATCTGATCAAAAGGGAAGAAGAGCTCGCGTCTGGTGTCGTGCATCTGTTACATGCTACGTAGTGCTTTTTAAAAACCGCTGCTTCAATCATTTTTGTGGTGTTATAATTATCTGTCACTCTTCCTAAAGACCTTCGCCTCATTCATTGTCTCAAAATAAGTGAACGTAATGAGCGTCTGTGTATAAACGTCAAGTGCGACTCCATTTAAACTTCGCGCTCAAGTTCAGAAGGCAGTATCACTGACATTGCACTATCTACGTAAGCAAGAGCTTGATATCGCAAGTGGAAAGTGTGCAGTCGTGGCGCTCCCCAGACAGCCGATATCCGCTTACGGTGTAATAATTAGTGGGCGACTGGTGTAGTGCACCCAGAGTCAAAGGTTCTTGGGAGTCAGGGCCAAACCTCATAAGCGCGAAAATGCACGCGACAGCGACGAGTGATACGACGTAGATCGTCTTCACGCGATCAGTCGCTAGAACAGGCAAACCTGATTACCGCGACGGCTTCGGCGAGCGAACTGCACTGTTGCTGGCATGAGGCCGTCTACTCGCACCAAAAAAACTGCGTAGCGAGTGGTATAGAATTTAAAAATAAGACATATATTTGTGTAATGGAAAGGAAAGTATTTATGAGTGCCTTGCAGCAATTTTTTTATATGCACATGCGTAAACATTGCGTTATTTCTTGTTGCGCATACGTGACTCGGGCAGGGTCACGTGCACCTATGTACTCGTTGTCTTTTGTGGTTTTTCGCTATTGGCTGCTTGAGCCCAGGACTTCCGGGCGATAAGCGACGGTTTCCAAATCTGGAGAAACGAGCAATCGCGTGAAAACGAGCACCCGACACGTCGCGCGAACGCCCTGTTTCGTCGTTCATAGCATCGCTCGTCGCTGTCGCTTGCATTTTCGCGCTTCAGAGGTTTGCTCTTCATGATCGACCGACACAAGTCTTGGACATCCCCCACCCCTCCCCCCGGTCAAACGCGTTATAAAGCGGCTGACTGCCATTCGCACTGATTCAGGTTCTTGCAGGCAATACTAGGACAATGTCCTTGCAGTCTATATTACAGCTGTACAGGATATTATTTGAGTTTCTGTGGTAGAGCTTACCTCTAATATTTACTACGTACAAAACTAGCATACGCACACCCCCAAACACTCAAGCCCAGGTTCTCAGGATATGCATTCATTTACGAAAAAGTGCATCAAGGATTGAAATAATTGCCATTGCACGGGCTACTCGATCATGATGCACATCACTGTTGGAAAAATGTGTACTTGCCTCGGACAAAATTATAGGAAGCCATCTCACTACTTGACAATATCCGCTGTTCAAAGGCCCCGTACGATATTCTGTGCAATTGGCTGTTCGCATTCTGCATCAATTACTTCAGATTATACGCCTGTGGAGAGCGGCTGTATTCTCAACGGTGCCTGACCCTTCCACAAGTACGTCTTGCAATATCAGGGCTGCAGAAAAAATCGAACTTGCCTTCGATAGCCTTTAAACAATTTAGCATGCTTCTCTTGCATGACATTTACAGTGACCACGTGCATACCTACACAAATGGTTAGACCGCAGCGTCTTGGTCTGGTGGCTCGAGGAATACGAACTCGAAGAAATAACCGATGCGAATCGAGCTGTTACATATCACTACATCTACGGTGGCAGAAATACCGGCTCGGTGCGGTGGCCTAGGGCACGTCGATTGCCAGAGATCAAGCAACTGGACTGTGTTTTCTGACTCGAAACCAGCCTTACCGTTCATGCAGTTAGTTCTCCGACGAGGTTTTACGAGCAGCTCACGCAAGAGATTTTCAAGCCTCATCATCACGTTACAGAAACACGCAATGAGGTAAACTTACAGTGGTTACCTGGTTCTTGTGGGATCAGTGGCAATGCTTCCGCAGACAACGCGACTCACACATCCCATAAAATAGAGCACACCCTTCCGATACCCAAATCAACGACAGACACTCCAAAGTAACTTCTTCGCCTGGCACGTAGTTTGTGTCTGCTGGAGTGGAATACCGAAAGCATAAGACATACAAGAATCCATCAAATAAGCTTTCAACTTGACCTCCAACCTTCATCCGGACTTGCTTTGCTTCTTTTTCAAGTTTTGCTTTTTGTAGGTTTTAGTTAGGGGGCTGCCTTCACAAAAGCATATACAACGCTTATTGGAGTGACCGAAATTGCGGAGTGCGACTTCTGCGGCACCGAAGAAGACATCGGTCATCTGCTCTGCTATTGCCCTCGATTTGCCTCTAAGAGAAGAAAACACCCTGACGCGTTGCGACAATTAAAGTGTTGGCCACTACGTGCAGATGCTTGTGGAGCACAGTCTATCCTTCATCGGCTCACAATGCAATCAAATTCTTTTGTTCTTCTTTAGCACTACGAATCTAGACGATTGCCTTGGACTCTTGTATAGTGCAACTAGTGCCTTGATGTCAGCCCATGTGCTGACACATTTCTTGTTTTTTTTTCTCCGTCTCTCTTATCTTTCTCTCTCTGTCTCATCTCTATACTTAGCTTTACCGTTCCCTCAGTTTAGGGTAGCCAACGCGGCATACGCCTTGGTAACTTACTTGCGTTCTCTTCTATTTCCCCTCCTTCCCTACTTGAAATAGGTACTCCTGATCTTCAACCATACTTGGATGCCTCTATACACTTCAAAAAATTTTTTTCGGTAGCTTCCCAGTAAACGGCATGCGGAGCCAAAAACATGTGACCAATTGTTTTCCTAAATGATTGTCAGGTGTGTGTGACCTGCATTTCAAACTGAAATGAGGACCACGGTGAGGTACACCAACCCAAACACAGGCAAAATAGTACCAACGCACTCACTCAGCACAGAACACCACACAAGGTTTGCAAATGATACGGCTCATTTCAATTGCAGGTTCTGGACTGTATTCTAAGTGTGTGCGTAAATAAAAAATGAAGAATGAATCAGTTTCTCCCTATTTACTTCGTCCTTCTTTTGGGCTTTCAAACTTTACTCTTGTTTTATTCATTAGTAGATTGTCTTACAACTTTATTATCAGAGGAAAAGCAGTGGGAATTGTTATGATGTTTAGGTTCATATTGCGGAATACCGTTACGCAGGCTATTTACCAGAAGCCCCTTGAACTCCTCAACTTATTCATCAACATTTGATTTGTCAGTGACCTGTGACCACTCATTGGCTGACAAGTAATATTAGTAATGGAGATTTTACTTTTCACAACCACAATATGATTACCAGAGACGCCGTAAAGTTGAGGGCTCTAGAACTTTAGACCGTGTAATGTGCTTTAACGTACACTGACATCGTGCACTACACGGGTCTCTGCCATTTTGCATTCATAGAAATGCGACAGCCTCGGCCCTATCAAGCTCACAACCTCTCGATCAGCATCCGAGCACTGTAGCCACCGTTTCGCCTAGGCGGCACTTTCAAAATAATGTGCTCAGGCGTAGTGTAAAACAGTATGTTTCATGCAGCTATGATATATAAAATGTGTGTGCTTCTTGAAGCTGCGGTTTCATTGGCAATTTATATATACAGAGGTGAGGCTTACGTGTCCGTATGCTTGCTCTACGACTAGTGAAAAGAGGATCGCTGTAAGAAAAAGCAAAAAGAAAAACATATATTTGGTAAGGTATTACATTCGCCACTTCGTGCACGACCAAATTCCCACATTACTTATTAGAACAAATTTGACAATTTCGCCATCAAATGCTTGAACGTAAGTGAGCAAGACTTCCGCCACATCAGCGGATCGTGGGGCGTAAAGTTATATATCTTTCGCAAAAATGTACACATAGCTAAAGATAAAGTTACATAATAACACGTGCGGAAAACTGAGTATGTCATTAAAGAAAAGTTTTCAAGCGCAATATTCACATCGCTGAGCAGTACGGTGAAAATACATGTGTATCCAAAACTCGATAAAAGTAAGATGGTTTTAATGCTATCCAAAAGAATACCAGATATATATTTGTTAACAAGTAAAGCTAATAGAGCAGGTGCATTGACAGAAATATTTTTTTGGAGGGCGGGAAAAATCCTTTTTTGAGGAGGGGGCAATCCCTGGAAACGGTCGTTTTTCACTCGCTATTTCCTTGCAAATAAGTTTGAGCAAGAACGGCGGGGCACGGTCCCGCTGGGCAACCCTGCCTGCCACAATTTCACGGTTTTATGGGTGATACTATGAAACCATGGCAATTTCTCTTAGTGCAATGTTAAAAGGATTGTTAACAAAAGCATCCTTCGGATCACATACAAAGATAAGGAGCTACTCCTCTTTGTGAAAACGGCTGAGCTGCACGAAAGAGAGGTGGCGAGAAAATTCCTACAGCAGTGGAACCTGTCTTACTGTGTTGATTGCCATTGGGTAGCATACGCATAGCGTGCCGTTGGTTCTGACGTCATCAGCTCTATTGACTGTTTAACATGCACTCGATGCGGCACCGCATTGGTTGTTGGGCCGCAAACTTTAACAAAGCTGAAATTATTGTGATGTGTGCAATTATTCATGCTGGCTCTTTATGCACTAGACCTCGTAGTGTGCTATCACCCCTTCCCTGTCCAAACCCAATCAATAAAAAAACTAAGCCTTCATCGAAAGTGTTCTTTTTGCACTTTAAATATAAAAACCTGCTGCTGCACACTAATACTTACCGCAGGCCATGAGGCAAACAGTTTTTCGGAACTCCATAATGAAGGACCTTTCTAGCTTCGAATACTGCCTCACACTGCTATATATACTGCCTCGCACTCCGTGATGCAATCACCCGATATACAAAGCATAAAAAATATACAGACAAGTTTTGTTGGTATAACATCGATCAATGTCGTTTAGTTGAGTTGTTTTCATCTAGCCCACGTATTTTTCTAAATAAGAAACACGCAGAAGCCCACAACAATGCACAGAAGCCTTGCACCTCCAGGTGCGCACCATTCTTAAACAACCGCGAGAACAAATTTAACGCATGAACCAGCTCTCTTAGGGGTTTTGTTTAGTGTGTTTTTTTTCTTATATTCGCGAGCAGTGCATTTGGAGCACCTGCTTCTTTACTGCAAGATTAGACGAGATTCGTAACGACTGTGTGGTTTATACGGATTCACGTAACTTTATCGGGAAACATGATGTGCTCCTGGTAAGGCGTGTAGAAGCTGACTCTTTACTGACAGCCCACATTCCACCCTACACACAAGGGAAGGGTGGGTCTTAAGTTTGTGCGACGGGCGTGAGTGAAAAATGTACTGTTGTGAATGCATGTTGATTTGTTACCTTTAAAACTCACAATATTTTCTAGCCGGTGGGAGCGCGCAGTAAGACATTCGCACATCTTACATTTATGTTTATGTAATATGCTCTAGGCAAACGACATGAGAGGTGGATAATTACCGCTGATTACAGAAATGGTTGAAGGTTACCTTTGGAAAGCTCGGAAGCTAACGCTTCTGCGTCAGCCCAGCAGGACATATTCGTTCCACTTTCACTTCTGTATGGAACATTTCTCCCACATAAGCTGGCGCAATCAGTGCGATGCTAAGTTGCTCGTATGTTACCTAAGTCGTTGTGATTTCGAGAAAAAAATGTTTCACCGTTCTTTCTAGTGGTAAAAATAAGGCCATATTATACTGCATATATCACAGTGATGTATAGTATGTACTTTATTAATGCTACACAGCGCATTTTTTTAGCCGTACATGTGAAACGTAGGTTGAAGAAACTTGTGCATGTAAGATAAGATATTTTGACAGGGCCGTTGGTTGTTTTTGTATATTTGGTTGGCAACACTGTAGATGAACGCTGCAGTGGTTCTGCCATTGCTACAGGAACGATAGGGACAAGGCTCGTAGCTTCTGCCATGAACGCAGGAAGGCGTTCCACCAAGAAGGGGCGTCTCTTTCACTGTCCATTTTCACTAACTTTACCACAGCCACTGAATAAAAGGTGATCGTATTCGGTCATTCCAGCCACAAAGGCGGTGCTATGCAGCCGTGCTCTGAAGCTGTCACACGGTGATAATCTGCGATGCAGTTTGGTCTCTCAGTAGTCATAAACGCGTCTTCACGCTCTGCGACGCTGATGTGCACGCTAGCGATATCACCGTCTCGTCCACCATTTCGACCTACCGTTGCGCCGCCTATAGTCGTTGTAATGATCGAATATTCTTGCTGCCCCAAAACACTCACCGCGCTTCACAACACATTTCTCTTATCTGTTGCTATCGCACCCTAAGCAGTGGTTGGCAGATTAACGTGGGTTCGCACATGGAGTCGGCACGCTAACATGACACGAAAGGCAAAGCGTGCACTGAGCAGTCACAAAACCGAATGTTCACGTCGGTAGCAATGCGTCAACGACAGAGTATTTTACAATATTGCATTGAAAGCCTCCGTTGCGAGGAATCTCATCACATGCATTCGCACCAGTGCTCGTTAGTGGGACGATGCAATAGTTCACTTCCCCGCCTACATATTGCCACACCACCCCATCTACGATAAAAGAAGTGAGAGACATAAGACGCACTTGTAAAATGTCGTACGCTTACCTGGCCCCGGAAACTCAGTCCTGTTTTCGGTTTCCAAGAACATGCACGCTTCTCGCAGTTTCCGGGCATTTCGAAACCCGGTTGAACAGAGTGAGGTTGATTTAAGTGCTCGCATTTATTGACTTTCACCCCGCCACGGCAATCTAGTGGCTAAAGTGGCAGGTCGCGGAATCGAATCCCGGCTACGGTGGCTGCTTTTTCGGTGGAGGCGGAAATGTTGTAGGCCCGTGTGATCAAATTTGGGTGCACGTTAAAGAGCTCTAGGTGGTTGAAATTTCTGAAGCCCTCCGCCTAGTCGTCTCTCATAATCGTATGGTGATTTTGGGACGTTAAACTCCACATATCAATCAGTCAGTCAGCATTTATTGGCTTTCGCAAGTTTTTTTACAAATAAAAAGATTGATATATCGGTAAAGATCTCCTCTCTTTTTGTTTTAAATGCGTTTTCTTATTTCGTAATTTAAATTTTGAATCAGGCGAAGCGCATGAAGTGATTCACTTGAGTTTATAGCGCTTGCTTCCTCTTTTTCTCACCCCTCGCTCAGTGATTTTAGAAGTTAGATCGCGACTACGGGGAAGATAAAGAGAGCAAGTAGTGGCGGGCAGAGAACAGAAGCCGAAGCGAGCTACGCCGAACAAGTAAACCACGCATTTGTCTATGATGACTTAATCAGGCAACACATGTTTTCCGCGGCTCTGAAGTGTGCTTACTCGGTTATGTCTAGTTCCGCGAAGGTTTCTCAGTGTTTCATATCGGCAACGCGCGAGCCCAAGAACTTCGACCTGATTATTTGAGCAGGTATTGATTTTACTTGGCTACATGAGTAAACACTGTTTCCTGCAAGTCTGACTGGACTGACAGAAGTGCGCTGTCACTTGTTTAATTGGTGAAGACGGCAGCCAAGCTCGTGCAGGGAAAATGCGTTTATTGAAAGGCTTGATTTCTAGTTCGCTCTGCTACATAGTTTAAGCTTCTTTTACTTTTGGCGTTCAGTTCATTAGTATGTTATGATTAACGTCTCAAAACCACCATATATATATATATATATATATATATATATATATATATATATATATATATATATATATATATATATGAGAGACGCCGTTGCGGAGGGCTCAGGGAATTTCGACCTCCTGGGGTTCTTCACCGTGCACCCATATCTGAACACATGGGCCTACAGCATTTTCGCCTCCATGAAAAATGCGGCCAGGCGTTTAGTTCAAGAGAAAGAGAGATAAATAGAGAAGAAAGGCAGGGAGGTTAACCAAGCTTGGCTCGGTTGGCTACCCTACACGTGGAGAGGGGAAAGGGATAATGATAGAAAGAAAAGTGATAGAAAAGCAGAGAAGGATGCATGGTCAGCTCGAGACTACACAGCATGGTCTCAGACTGTTTTTTCCCAATCGGTAATGAAGCCTGATGGTCCTTGAGATGTACAAGAGGGCCTTCGTGGCTTTGCGCGTATGGGAAACTCCTGGCCAAGGTCCCAGAATCTTCTCTGCTGAAAGCGGCCGTGAATCCAGCTGACAGAGCTTGGATTCCATAATACGTCGTTCAGACTGGTATGCTGGGCAACGGCATAGAATGTGGTCAAGCGTTTCCTCGCAGGCGCAGACATTGCATGCCGAATTGTTCGCCATTCCAAGGAGACAAGAGTACGCATTCGTAGATGCTGCGCCCAACCCCATGCGACACAGTAAAGTTTTAGTGCATCGTCAAAGCCCGGATGGCAAACGAAGTTGCAAGTTTGGGCCGATTTAATACAGGTGCGTGTTAGCGAATACCGGCGTATTTCATTGTAGAGGAGTTATACGGTGAGCAAGTGATTGTAGTCGCCTCGCAGCGTCAGTTCTCAAGAGTGGTTTGGGCGTACACAGGTCTTGGTCATGAGTCGATCAAGCAGCTTCATCCGCGTGGTCATTGCCGTGAATTCCGCAATGGCTCAGGGACCACTGAAATACAATATCGTGACCTTCCTTCAGCGCTTCGTGGTAGTCGTGCCTTATCTGATATAGTGATTCTTTGTGTAACCCATGCTGAATTGAAGACCGTAGTGTCTGTAAGGCTGACCTCGAGTCGCAAAAGATGGCTTATTGGTTAGGTTGCTGCCGAAGAATGTATTTTACTGCACCTTGAAGCGCTGCGAGCTCTGCTGCTGTCGACGTAGTGGTGTGAGAAAACTTGTTTGAAGCAACACATTATCAGATAAAAAAAGCACTGCTCCTGTAGAGCGCTTGGAATCAGTGATGTCATCGGCGTAAACATGTGTGCGGTTGAAGTACCTTTGTTCAACAGACGCAAAGTCAATTGCTTTAGGGCAAGCGGTGACATGCATGCCTTCTTAACGATTCAAGGAACTGATAAGCGCTTGTCAGGTCAACGGAGACTCCATAACGTAGCTGCTGGATGCATCGCTATTTTGAAGCTGGGCGGTAATGGGTTCTGATGTTTTGTCACAATACTGCAAAAGGAAGCATGGGGCCTCCGTGCTGTCGAACACGCTAAATAATGTGACGATAGCCATGATGAACGCCCTCTCAGCGTCTCAACAATGATGTGCGTTGCGACCGGCTGTTCTTGTGCGATAACAATAGTTGCCACTGTCGATGAGCGTCTTGGAAGGCCGAGACATGCATTAAGTGCTTAGTCTTGTAAGCTCAGTAGTGCACGGATGTTAGTCTTGCACGTGTTGGACAGGACAGGAAGGCTGTGCCGGTGAATTCCGAGAAAGAGGGCTGTATAAAGCTGCAACATGGAGTGCGCGGATGAGCCCCATGATTTTCCGGCGACGAACTTGAATACATTCTCAATGCCAATGAGCTTTTTTTCAGGTATGCGACATGGGAGCTCCAGGTTAGGTCACGATCTACAATGACACCTAAGAATCTATGAATGCTCTTACATGCGATTGATGTGCCATCGATGTACGATGGGTAGAAATACATCGGTTTGCGTGTAAACGCCACTGAAGCGCATTTTTCCACTGGCGATAGTCAAACCTTGCTTGCGACGGTATGCCGCTGTCATTGTTGCTGCTTTCTGTATCCTGGCGCGCAATTCAAGCCGTGTCGCACCGGACGCCCAAATGTAGATGTCCTCACCGTGGAGAGCTATATAAGCCGTCTGTGGCAGTATTTAGGTGAGTCCGCCAGAACGAGGTTGAAAAGAGTCGGACTCAAAACGTCGGCTTGTGGCACCCCACCATTTGTG